CTTATATTATATGGAATTTCACCTGTCAATCTAAGATTAATACCATAATTATTGAAAAAATAATTCATCAAGGAAAATTAAAATCCATATTTTTTAAGTAATAATTATAACTAAGAAAAATAAACTTAAATTATAATAGTCATAGAGCATTGATACTTGAAAGTGAAATTTAAAAAATACACAAAAAAATTGCTTAAATTATATGAATAAGAGTTAACTTTTAGGAGTAGGTAGATTAACATCATCACTCTCTTTCTCTTTCTCTTTCCTTCTCTCTCTCTCCCCTCATATTTTCTCTTGGGTTTTTGAAAAAAATTGAATCTCTTATCATCACACTCTCTCTCTCTCTCTCTCTCCTTATATTTTTTTTCTTTGGTTTCTTCTGAATGTATGATGAAAGATCGTGAAGCTGGGTTTTCTGAAATGGATTCTATGTTCTCATTTGTACAGATGTTTTAGGTAGATGTTTAACTACCACTTTCGTCATGGCAACAACCATTGATGAGGGATGAAGGGGTTGATGGGGTACAACCRAGTAGGGGGTTGAAAGGGAGAGAGATGAGGGGATATGGGTGTTGCTGATGTTAGTTCGATGAAGGTTTGGTGATGTTCACCAAAAGGTTTGGAGGCGTCTCTTTTACCATGAATGGCGTTGCAAGTGTAGCCGGAAAACGGAAGAGTGGCTGYCRGGAAGGGTTGGGGTAATTGCGGTGAGGAAGCTCACCATACGAATGTGATTGAGAGAAAGAGGGGGGATGCCACACGCTTTTATACAGGTATCTTTTGTCTCTACTGGTTTCTTGACCAACCCACCAAATACAGACCTCGAGTGATGTGTTGTTCACAATAAAGAAAAGCTGAAACAATTTTCAGGTGAAAGCTGTAAATAGGGAAGGAAGAAACAAAAAGCAAGAAAGAATGGTTTGAAGTTACTAAATGGGTAGAAGAAAGCTATAAAGAGAAGATGAAAAAAGCTTCAACTAAAAAAGTGAAAGTTTCAACTTTGGTGTAGTTAGTGTTGTACTGTCATGGATTTTTTGAACTTTATGTATAAAATGGTTGTACATTGTGCTTAGTGATTTGTAATTAAGAGTTTTTTGAATTTCTTGCATAAAATGGTTGTAATATATGCTTCAAGAGTTGTAATTAAGATAATGGCCTAAATGCTTATATATGTAGTATAGATATGTTCATATATATATATATATATATATATATATGTTTCTATATATTATGTAATCAGATAATGATATTAAAAAAATGTACATTCATATTTGAAGAAGAAAAATCATATAAATTATTATTATAAAAATAGGTTTTTAATTATATTTAAAATCTAACTTAGAAAAATAAATTTACAACTTCATTTTAACCAGGAGTCAGCAACGTTTATGATTTGTGAAACTGTGAGTCATGTGATTAGTCAAATTTATAAAAGTGTAAAAATCTAAAGTTAAAAGTTTAAAAACACAAAAGATAAAAAATATAAAAATAACTTTTGAAGAAAAATCACGTCTTACAAAAAACACGCGTCGTGGCGTGAGAAACGCCTTACAAAAGCGTTATGGGCCATTTCTAACGGCAGAGACACGTCATGCGCCATGTAGCGCCTTTTTGAACACTGCCCCCATCACGACCACGCTAATACTGTCATTGTCACGCCTGACACCCTCAACCCCTACCCCTACCCGCACACCTCACCCCCTACTCACCCACCATCATGCCATTATCGTTGTCGTCACAACTGCCACCCACCCGCCCCACCTCACACCATTGCCAACACCATCATGCCACTACTGTCCTCTTTACAGTTGCCAAACCCCACCATTCCGCCAAACAAACATAGAGATT